AAGAGACTCATGTAATGGTACAAGATCCCAATGATGAATGTAACTGTATTGTATAACTAAAATGTACCAATAAAGTTAATGGGGGGGGGAAGAAAAGAATTAAAATAATTTGACAGGTTAGATGTTATAATTGGAGAATATTCTTTTTATTTTCTAATAATTTAAAATAATTATTAGTATACTCTTTAAACAGTAAAATGGTAAGAGAAAATATTTTACTGGTGCTGTAAAGCTGAACAGCAGAAAATAGTGGTATTAGATTATGATTAATACTTTAAATCTACCTCTGATAATTTTTTAATGGTTATTTGGTCATAATACAATGTTAGGTTTGGAAGGGCTTCATCTAGTCTAATTTTCATCCAATATTTTTATTCTTTATGGCATTGTTACATAATCATAATAACTACAAGTAGCTAATTATTATACATGTTATTATGATCCAAATCCTGGTAAGCACTTTATACACAGTATTACATTTAATTATTATAACCATACTTTAAGTTAGGCCAACAGTTCCCAAAGGGTGGTCTACAGACCCTGGTGGTTTTCAAGATCCTTTCAAGGTTCTACAAGGTCCAAATTATATTTATAATAATACTATGATGCCTGTCTTTTTCACTATATTGACATTGGTGCAGCACAAATCAAGGTAATTGCACCAAACTGTACTACTAGTCATTATATTCTTTACCAACATGCAATACAGTTAAAAAAAAATAAACCGGTATGGTGGCACATGCCTATACTCTCAGCTATTCAGGAGGCTGAGGTAAGTGGGAGACCAGCCTGGGAAATTTAACAAGATCTTGTCTGAAAATATAATTTTTAAAAAAGGGCTAAGGATATAGCTCAGTGGTAGAGCAATTGCCTAGCATGTGTGAAGCCTTGGGTTCAGTCCCCAATACTGTGCTCATGCATGTATCGTGTGTAAAAAAATAAATACCATTTCATTTAATCTTAGTAAAACAGTAAAAAGTGTTAATTTTATTAAATCTTGAATGTATTTCAACTTAATATTCTGTGATTAAATGAGAACTACCCATAAAGCATTTCTACTGTATAGTGAAATATAATAGTTGAGGAAAATCACTTGTGTGATTGAATTATGAGCTGAATTAGCCATCTTTTTAAAAATTAATTTGCTATCTTTTTAATATAACATTTTTTTCTTGAAAAAACAACTGACAAACTGACTATTCAGACTTGGTTATTTGGCATTCATTTTCTCAAAGATGAAATGAGCCAATACTTTTCTATTAGAAAATGTTTACAGTATATCATGATTTTATTCCTCATGGGAAATTGGTACATGTATATAATGCATCAAAGAGCCAGTACTATTTTGAAAAAAAATAAAAGCTAACAATATTTGTTGCTAGTGACAAATTTCAGTCTTTCAAGTAAAAATTAGAATTTTAGCCTGGCATGGTAATGCACACCTGTAGTCCCAGTGACTCTAACAGTAGAAGTAGGATTGCATGAGTTTAGGATTTTGAAGCCAGCCTGGGCAGCATAGGGAGACCCTGGGTCTTTTTAAAAAAAAAAAAAGAGGGGCCCTGGATTTAGCTCAGTGGCACCATGCCTGCCTTGCAAGTGCAAGGTCATGAGTTCGATCCTGGTTCCAAAACAAAAGAAAGAAAAGAAAAAATATATATATAAAACAAAACAAACAAAT